TTCCTCCACTTCATTCATTTCGCCATCCACCACCTTTTGCTCTTACTTAAAGTAATATCGTTAATAAACCTGAGATCGTGTAGCAGTAATCATTATCTTACCTTCTTAATATTAGATGTCTTCCAACAACAACACCCCTAACAACAGCAACACTGACGCGCGCCGTCAGCAACACGCGCAGGATACGGAGCTCGGCCGTATCAACGCAAGCGTCCTCCTCCTCCAGGATAGCTACAATCTGCAAGCCGAGAATACAATGATGCGACAGCAGTTGGCATCAATGTCAACTTACTTGGCACAACAGCAGCAACAGCCTACGTCTATGGCAGCACCTGATGTTGACAGACGAAGAGTGGAGGAAGTGCTTGTAAGATTGTCGAGTTTTCATCTTGCCTGGTTTCTAGGACAGTAGAATTAATTCCTTGAGTTGTTAGGCCAAATCCACGCTCGTCATAGCCGGTTTTCGTCCGAGTCTGGTTATCGTTTGGACGAGGACTTTAGATCTGCGCACAATAAGCTGGTCACAAAGATCATCATTGACCACTGCAACGGCGAGGGGGACAGAGGTTGTGTTCTTGGGGACAAGGCCTTACGGGCTAAAGTGCACCAGTACTTTTGCGGCCAGAGGGATGTCGCAAAGCGTAGCCCTGAGCAAAGAGCTGCAATTGCCCTACGCAGTAAGCGCGGCAAACGAGTATGGCAAGTCAGTATCAAGAGAATGTGGTTAAGCAAGAAAAAGAGGTTTAAAGTGGTAAGTGTTTAAAAAGTCTTACTTGTATATATCGCATATTATAGAAAGCCAAAGAGCGCAAGGTCGCTCATACAAGGTATTTGGCCTCTTTGGATGGGCGGTACCTGCATGGTGAGCGCCTTCTGCGTCGTGAGTGTATGTCGCCAGAGCTCTCGGACGGTGAGGCATCAGGCGTGCTTCGCGTTTGCAAGCCGTCGTTTCGAAACAGCAAGGTACATAAGTCCTGCTTTCACATTTTACAGTCAATGTAATATAGATAAATATAGGTCGATGAGTTCTTTCGTGAGTTGGATGTCTTGATCGACAATGGAAAAAAAAAGAAAGTGGAGAAAAAGGAGAGACGCCCTGGCCCGGTCTTTGAAGCTGTGCTTGAAGAAAAGGTGTTGGATAATTTGCCCGCTTGGGCTAAATAAAAGTTTTGTTTTCTCCTTGACAACTACTGCTTTTATTTTATTTTGTGTTTTTACTTTCTACTACTCTTCTACGTGTTAAAGGAATCACAACGATTTTCGCGGACTTAGGATCTGTTTGGTCACTATATGCAACGATTGACACCTGTGAGAATATTCGATGCACCGGCAAGATGGACTGATAATCATCCTGGCCAAAGGTGCTTTTCCATTCCTCGAGACCCTCGTTGGCGAATCGTTGCTCTGTTGTTTCTGTGCAGTACCAACAGACGTATGCGAAGTAGTGGATGGTAGGGACGCGGTCAATGACAAGTAAATGGCGGATGTAGTATTGGACTTGTCCTGTCTAGGCAACATCACGGGTACCTTGGATAAAAAGTACCTAGATGTGCGAACCACGGATCGACCTGGCTGTTGCTGATCGATATGTTTGACCAACAATTCAATGGTACGTATTTTTTCTACCCTATTGTTGGCAAAGATGCGTCTTTGTTCGTGACTGGCACCATGACTAACTCCTTGTGCATAATGGTTGTTGTAGTGTTCTAACAAGAGCGTGTAATGCTCTTCCACCAGTCTTGTTGATTGACCGCCTTCCATTGATCAGTATGTATCTCCTGGTAAAGGCTCACAACCGATGACGTTTTTACTCGTATCTGAGGACAGTTCGCGGAATGCAAGTGGATCGAACGAGGTAGTGCATGGTTGCTGGAAGGGTCTTTGGGATGTGTTGGCGGAGGGTATTACCAGCAATGCTGCCAATCAGTACTGAAACAAAGCTGATGAGGTGGACTGCTGCTCGTTCTGATATGTGGTGCAATTGAAACAAGATGAGAAATGCAAAAACGAAGATCAGTGGATGGGGGATATGGTCCAATGGATCATTGACAGGTATGTCGATTTCTTAATCTATCTATTATTTTTTCGTTATTATCTCTACCTGTATTGATAATAACCTTTTCTCCAAGCGCCAATAACAACGTTTTCTTGTACCTTCTAGATCGTCGATCTCGCCGTTGAACTCTATGTCGATTACCGGGTTGATGTCGTTCTCGCCTACAGACCCTGTTGCAAGTGGTTCCTCGGGCAGATCAAAATGCTGTATCTCTAGCTCTCCTTCCGGCAGTACCACGCTCTGCAGTTGCAGTGCCTCGGGATTCTGTGCATTGTTGTCCCCAATGTCGAAATCTCGTTCTCCTTCTCCATTGTTGGAATGGTCAACAGGGCTATCATCTTTTATTTACCAAAAGTTGTTTGTATATTAGCTGACCGCATGTCTAAACTGGCAACACATACTCATTCAGGTGTCAAATAATATTAACGTACCATTAGTAGCCATTGGAACTTGATCGTCAGTCTCGGTAGCACCGTCAGAAGGCTCACCCATTGCTGTATCACCATCTGGTCCGTGCATATCATGTTAGACCCGTGCAATTCCCCTTCCTTTGAGCATCACGTTAACACCAACACAATTACAGGCGTACCATTATTTACTCGTAGACCAAGGGCAGCAGCAAGCGTAGCCTGCTGTAAAGCTGCATTCTGATGATCAGTATACTGCCGTGGAGTAAGAAGATCATATCGAAACTGTGGATATCGGCTATGGCACAGGTCGCAAAAACACATCATGCTGCGTTCAGGATTACCGGTGTTAGGATGGGGCATGGACATGTTGGATAAAAATTCAAAAACGGTAAGTGTGACAGAGGATGATAAGTTTAAATAATCGTACTTTTTTTCTTCTTCTATATCCTTCTTTTATACAGTATGTTTTTTTTTCTTTTCATCAATCAAAACAAATATTACACATGATGTATAGTGAGCGATGGATATAAATTGTTGGTTTCTTTATTGATACAGCTTAGCAATGTATTTTCAAGCTTCTTGGCAATGTGCTTTTCATCCAGCAAATATGTATAACTTCTTGAGCGTAAATGAGCTGCATCAAAAAACGTGTCGGATCAAATTTCTTTGAAAACGTGTAATATATTAGAAATAGAAGCGGCACCACCGTTTTGCTTGGTATTAGCTCTTTTATTAAATGGTTTTATTATAGAGAATCATTCACATCATCACTCAACTCAAACTTTTGCAAACCACTGCTTTTTTCTCTTTTAATAGCTTTTCTCTTTGCCACTGTTTTGTTATTAAATTCGCTAGCTTATGCTGCACGCTTTGGATGTGTTTTGTAGTATGCACATAACATAATAACACCCCCAAACTGATTCTCCCCCCAACGAACGAAGATGCTATTGAACTATTTTTTTGTCTCCACCCCCAAACTACTATTGGACCTGACTATTAACTATTGCTACACTCTTTAAAATTCGGCTTATAATACTACTCCTCATTCCATCATCGCTTGCCATTGAGAAAAAGAATGCCATTACAACCCTTGACTCTTTTTTTCTTCCCTCCGATGTCAGCGCCGGCATGTTTCGAAATAAAGGGAAAGGATTTCTCTTCTTTATATTTTAAAAACATATAGCAATACACATGCAGCAACGTGTATATACCTACTTTTTTTAACGTCGCAGGTCATTTTTGCATCCTTATCAGGCGGTGTTCCTCTCCTAAAATTAATTCTTAAGAATCAGGTACTTTTTACTACCTGATTCTTCTGCAGTTTGCGCAGTGCCAGGACATGTAGGTGCTACAGTGCACTTTAGAGGAAGACAGTTAGTACTTTGATTCCTTAATATCAATAAAAGAATCCAATTTGCCACTGTATTCTATGCTGTGCAATAGTCGTGCTGTTAATGCGTTGATTGACTCTAGTGCTACTGGCTCGTATGTCTCAGCTAGAATTGCCGCTGGTTTGCCTGCTCGCTCGGTGGTTGGTCGCAAGGTCGAAACTGCCAGTGGTTATGTACTGTCAACTTCCAGTCAAGCCACGCTAACATTGAACGCTCAAAGTTACGAGCATCAGGCGGATGCGTACATGCTCAACACCAAGTTTGACATCATCCTCGGTCGCGATTGGCTCAAAGCCGTACAGCCAGTGTCCGATTGGGAGCAAGACACATAGAGTATTAGTAAGGGCTCTCATACTTATGCCCTTAAACCTCGCCACACACACCAAGTCCCTGAGCTCTCTTACCTACTGTCACATCTTCAAGTCTAACGCTTAGAACGCAGTAAGGGGATTGATGAAGTGTTTGTATGCTACGTCCAGACAGAAGACGCTTAAGACAAGCTAACAACCAATGACTACTTCAGGACATCCCTAGTCAAAGACTTTGGAGATGTGGGATGTTAATTCATATTTATTAACTGTCAAGCGTTCTAGTAAATTTCTAATTTCATTGAAATTTATCTGAACTTAAGGCAGCGACTGTAAAGGTCTAGCTTATATGTTTAAATAGAAATGGTTATATGCGTTCCAGATTAAACACATTTATATAAAACATAATATTTAGAATTATTATAATAAAAAATTAAAAAATTTAATTTGTTTTTATTTTTATTATTTATAATTCACCGTTAATATTAATTAGTTAAAGTTCTAACAAATCAAAATTTGTTGAACATTTAATTATTAATGATTAACTCCTATGTTCCATGAATAATTACCTGGATTACTACCAGACCGTGGTGTCCAGCACGTCATTGACACCGAAGATGCTGACCCCGTCTCCTGAAATCCCTACAAGATGAGCCCACTCAAGTTAGATAAGCTGCGTCAACAGCTGAAAGAGTTGCTTGACTTGAAGCTCATTCGCCCAAGCTCATCGCCTTAGGGTGCACCTGTTCTGTTTGTATGCAAGAAAGATAGGTCTATGCATATGTGCGTTGACTACCGTGCAGTAAACCATTTAACTCGTCGTAACACACACCCACTGCTGCGTATCGACAAATGTCTCGAATGATTGGCCAATGCTCGCCAGTTCACAAGCCTTGACCTCAAGAGCGGCTACTACCAAGTATGTATTCGACCGGAGGATGAGGACAAGACAGCCTTCAGCACTTGATACAGCCAGTACAGCTAGAAAGTTTTGCCATTTGGCCTACGAAATTCGCCACCGGTTTTTCAAGCCATGATGAATAAGGCACTGGGAGATAGCCTCGATACGTGCTGCCTCGTGTACTTGGACGATCTTCTCATCTTTAGCACGAGTGATGATGAAGAAGCGCACCTACAAGACGTTTGACGGGTACTCAAGAAACTGCATGAGGCGAAGCTGGTAGCCAACTTGAAAAAGTGTGAATTCAACAAGACCGAGTTGGAGTTCGTTGGTTATCAAGTGTCTGCTCAAGGAATACGGCCATCCACGAAAAAGGTGCAAGCAATTCAAGACTGGCCGGTACCGACAAATGTACAAGAAGTACAGCAATTCGTGGGGTTGGCAAGCTATTACTGACGATTTTTAAAAGGCTTCAGTACACTGGCGGCACCTTTGACGGATTTGACGAAGGGTACAGGAGCGAAGAAAAGGGCGATTGTGTGGACGCCTGAGTGCCAATAGGTTTTTGACACAATCAAGGCCAGAATGTATGACGCGCCCATCCTGATGCCACCTAATCCGGACAAGCCGTACATGATCGAGACTGATATGTCCGACTTTAGTGCTGGTGCTGTACTATTGCAAGAAGGATCCGATGGTCTCCCGCATCCTCTAGTGCTCGAATCTAAAAAATTCTCATCTGTAGAACGATCATACCCTGTACAAGAAAGAGAAATGCTCGCTATCCTTCACGCCTTACGAATGTGGTGTTGTTTTATTGACAGGCGATAGTATACTATATACTCGGACCATTACCCGCTGAAGTATTTCTAGTCTAAGACAAAACCAACGCCACGGCTAATGCGATGGATAGCCGATATAGAGCTCTATGACCCAGACATCCAATACAAACCTGGTAAAAGCAACCATGTACCCGATTTGTTATCAAGACGGGATGGCCCGATTGCTGTCACCAAAAAACCAAGCTTGGAACCCGAATTGCTCTACGCACTCAAGGCGGTGCAGGAATCAGACTGGCCAAAATTCTATGCTTTTGCCGAGGACCAGAAGCCAGCAGTCTACAAAGATTTACTAGAAAACACCAAGATAAGTTTGTGGTATGGAACGCTCAAGTCTACTGCAAGGTCCGAGTCGGTAACACTACCCAAGAAGTGCACTACGTCTTATTCGCTCGCTGCGCCGATTTAGTCGAGCAGTTTCACCGCGCTTTTGCGCAGGCGCAGAAAACAATGGTATATGATTTGATGTGCAAACGATGGTGGTGGCCTAATATGCGTGCGGACATCGAAGAATGGTTAGCCTCCTGCCAGCAATGCAAACTTGCTGCCACTGCTGATTGCCATATCCACCATGCACCAATGAGGCCTCTGGAAGTGCCACCCATATTATCTCAATGGCATTTGGATTTTGTTGGTGAATTACTTACTACCATCAATGGCAACTGCTGGTTACTTGTGGCCGTAGACTATGCCACGAACTGGACCATCGCTCGTGCTGTACTGGATGCAACTGGTGAAGCAATTGCCAACTTCATTTATGAAGAGATCGTACTACCGTTCTCTTGCCTGGTCGAAATCTTGACAGATCGTGCACTAATTTTATGTCCAAGGTCCTCACGTACTATTTGGGCCGCTTCAAGGTCAAACATATCTTGTCAAACAAATGTTACGCAAGTATATGCAAGAGGAAATCCTTCGTTGGGATCAATTCGTCCAGCCTACCGTGTCCGAAAACACTGTACGTCCGGTTTTTCACTATACCTTTTGGCATATGGTGTTGAGCCAATATTATCAGGTGACCATTTGCCCCTTTTTTTGCTACTACCTGAATCAAACACAGACGACGCTCCCATCGTTTCCGGCCGTGTCCCTGAGGTCCGCCGACTGTGCGAAACGAGGTTACTTGCAGAAAGCCGCCTCAAGAAAAACACTGCCAAGGACAAGGCGTGCTGGGATGCCCTACTCAAGCCACAACAATTTGCTGTGGGTGACCATGTCTTGATGCAGTACGAGAACAAATTGAGCCTCGAGCTCAACTGGAAGGGACCATATAAGATTCTGGCTGTAAAACTAGATACGGATATCTACTAGCTGCAAGATTCACAAGGACAAGTCTATAATTCCTGGGTCTACACAGATCACCTCCACCCGATACATGTTGTGTCAAAGATCCCTGACGAGTCTTGGTACGCCCCCACACTCACTCGTGCAGCCAAACGCCGTTACCTCGATGCTGCGGGTCAGATCGCTTTGTTGCTCGAGGATGATCAATAGTCTGCGGAGGGGATATTGTCATAGCGAAATTGACCAGCCTTAAATTATTCTGTTTTGACGGCGCTAATGAGTTTCTGTAGGCAAATGTGGCATGATTCTATCGCACCATTGACGGTATTCCGTTTGCTTGTTAACATAGGTTTTCTTCATATTGGCTAGGCGTGCTTCGAGTGCTT